TGTTAGGCTGAGTTATTTTCAAAATAGACAAGATAATATTTGTCAATTTAGTTAAGCATTGTCTGGAAGCACGATATATTCTAAGGGTTTTTACATCAAAACATTCCTCTATATGAAATTCCTTAGAAGATATGAATGTTGACACATGATTCTGATTCTAATTTTTGATTTGGACGTATTTAAGCAAGAAGTATTTATTTGGCTTGTCCAGCTCAAGAAGTAGAGGTCAAACCTGCTTCTCTCTACCTAACATTCCAAACCTTACTATGGTTTAAATATTTTATTCTAGAAGATGACATTTCTAAAACCCATTATATATTTATGTTTAAAGCTTTTTCATGGCATTCTACATTCTTTGTCTTGAATATTTCTTTCCCGTGGTTTGTGTGGTTCCAAGTTATATTGCAGCCGTTTGCCTTTTCACCAGTTTTCTTTGACTCACATGTTTGTAAACTTAGCAGTTATCTTTTCTTGAAGTGGGATTTCTAGATTTTGAACAAGAATAAGTATAACTGCTATATTTATTTTAAGATAATGGATATGCTTCAACTCCTGTCGACAGGTTCACAGTTTAAAATTGTTAACCTTTCAAGGAGGAATTAAGATCCCTGGAAAACTCAAACCTTCAGAGAGAGCTTTGATTTTTTTTCTCTTAAAGTATACTTGTATGAGGATCTGTCTTTTCTATTTACTTTAATCTTAAAGTTTAGAATTTTTGTTTAATATTAAGTGGAAATGGGATGATCTATGTTTACACATCTCAAGAAATAGTGGATTTCAAAACTATTTTGGTTTGTTGGGTACACCATAATAGCTGGGCACAAGAAATGTCTTAGATCTAACTCAGAAACTAAGGCTGTTCTTCACTATGATTTTCTAAGATTGGCCACTTACATGTGATTTAATGTCACCTAAAATTCATTAACATTTTCAGCAGCTCTAATGCATTGATTCTGATGTTAAATGCCACTATGATCATTCTCAGATAAACTTCCATTTACTCACATGTTTATTCACTTTAAAGCCTTCAAATTATGAATATCTTACATTGAAATTGAAATACATGGGATTTTTCTATATCTTATTCCTTATTTATGTCTCTTTTCCTATAGTGAAAAACCCTCTACCTCAACATCACTGTAATTTCTCTATCCAACTGTATACACATCATACTTCTCGAATTTCTACACATAAAACACAATCTTCTTACTGCCTTGTGACATTTGGCAAATTATGTAACCATTTAGAATTGCTGTTTTTATATACATAAAAAAATTAAGTATAATGATAGAACCTACCTTCTAGAATTGTTATGAGAATTAAGTGTGTTAAAATATGTAAAGCACTTAGAAAAATGTTTAGTATTTAAAAAGCATAACTTTACTATTACATGCATGGCTTATTTTCCAAGTCTTTGCATATAAAATAATAATTTTCTATCAAATTTGTTCAGTGCTGCTTATATAATTTATACTCTAAAATTGTGTATAATAATTTACATTTATAATCTAAATAATAATAATAAAGTAGCATTTATTAGCTGTTTACCACAGGGCTTGGTAAGTCTTTTATGTACGTGGAGCATTTATTAGTTGTTTACCATAGGGCAATCACTTGCTAAGTCTTTTATGTACATTATCTCACATAAGCCTCAGAACAATTCTGTGATGTGTTAAAATGAATCCTGTTTTACAGCTGAATAAAAGTAAA